TGACCAGTACATTTTTCTGATTTTATTTTGCTCTGTATTCAGGAAAAGGAAAATGCAATTGGTTAGTGCTGCTTGGGGGAGGTTGCTCTTATTATTGGGGATGGTATGTAAGAGTAAACTGCTGCTATTTATCTCTGTGTAAAGAAACACATATTCCATCATTGAAATAGATCTCATTCCATACCTGTTTTTTCCAATTTTAATTTTCATTACAATGTGGCATATTAAATAAAGGAATGACTATTTTTAAGGGTGCAGCCTCTTAGTGATAAGGCAAAACAAAAACCTCGTTGTAATTTGCAAAATATCTGATCCAGCCAAAAGGGGTCATTTACTCACTTGGCGAATTAAGCTTACAGTAGTGTGTTTCCTGGCTTCCAAATTCATCATCTGGTACATGAGATAAAATACAGATATTTCATGCTAGAAGCCTAGAATTCAGTTCTTGAGGTTTTTTCCTTTCTCCTTTTCTTGGCTTGCCCTGTCTTTTAAAAAGCCTGAGTAACAGACATAATTACATTGCATTATTTCAGACCAAAATATGACCTTTTAGGGATTCCTGATATCAGTTGAACAGTTTGCTTAGCAGAATATACCAGCAAAGTAAATAAAAAATTGAGTAGTTTTATTTTTAATAGAATGTTTTGGATGCTGGAGTGTTTGCTCATAAAAATTTGTGGGACAGGTCTTTAATTTATCCTCGCGTAAAAAATGGAAGTGAAACCTTGAATATGATAGAAAACAAAAGTGTATTGCGCATTCATAATGATTTTAATTTAATTCTAACCTAAATGGACTAGTTTTTCAACTTGCAAAGGAAGTAAGACCCTGAGTTGTTTTCTCTATGGAAGGTTCTGATGTACTGCCCTTTAAATTATGTTAGCCTTGGAGCCAGCAAAACAAGAATGTTTCATAAAAGTCACATTGTTCCACATGGTTCCACATGGTATATCAACATACTCACAAAACCATCTGAATTCATGTGGCTGGAAGAGCCAAAGAGAAATGGTTTCATTATTTGCAAAGCAATCCAAGGTCTAATACCTCAACTCTAAATTAGTACATTTCTAAAGAAAAAGAGTAGATGGAAGAGTAACACGGTAAAAGCTGATGTAAACTATTAGTTGCAGAAATATTTCTATCTTCCTAGTTGTGTTGTCTTCCTGCAACTGTGTTGAGCATGCCATGTACTGAGGATGCATTTGGTGCTCTCCTACTTTCACTGCCAGCTCTGGGTAGCTGGTTTATTTAATACCCAGCTCCCCAGACTCAGCTCAATCCCGCAAAATGTTAGGAATAGTAAACATCTGGACTGTATTTTTAAATTAGATTATTAATTCAGGCTGCTGCAGATCGGAGGCAGCTCTGCCATGGTTCTGCACTAAGGTAAATATGTTGAGGATGCTTAGGATGCAGTGTAAGAAGATTATATTGATGAACAGCCAGACAATATGTGAGTCAAAAAACGAATCTCAGCCACAACCTTGTCCATGTAGGCCTGGTGAAAAATCATGAAACTATTCTAATACCCCCTACAGCCTGGACAAGCTAATTTCATCATGACTGTCATGATCATGACAGGCTACCCCTAGAAAATTAGTTTGAAAACAGATGAGGTGGAAGGTCCTTGTATTTTGATAAGAAAAGACAATGCTGGATAAAATCAAAAAGTACATAAAAAAACTGAAAAAACAACAATAACAAGAAAAAGGTAAAGTGGGATAAAAGATTCCCAGATACATTTGTCCAGAGTAGTTGGTGAAAGACTTGGAAAGATGCTTTGATTTTTCCCTCAAGTACGAAAGAGAAATTATTTTCTGTGTATATCTGTATGTATTATGTATATCTTTGGATATATGGAAGAGAAGGAGGACCTACAGATATGTTTAAAATAAGCTGGAGAGGGACCGTTTGTTCTTGACCCTAGGATGTTTTCTGTACAGGTATGAGAGCCAACATACCTACTGATAGTATATTTCAAGGAGCAGAGATAGGTTTTTGTTTTATCCATTCTTGTACTAATCCTACAAAATTGTGTAGACAATGATAGTGGCAGCATCCCCTAAATTTTATCAGTTTTCAGAAAGCTTTAGATAATGAAGAAAATAATTGTGACAGATTTTGAAACACAGAAAGTCTTTGGTTGTTTGGTTTGATTTCTTTTTTCCCTTTTAAAATGATCCATGTATATTAAAATGTTGTCAGGGTGTGAAATGCACTGCAGTCTCTAACCAGGAACAACCCTAGCAGTGTGATGCATTGCTGGAGCTAAATGTGTTTTCGTCCTGCCTTCCTGAATCCTGTACTTTTTGTTAAGGACCTTTAGCATGCAACAAGAATTTTCAGTATAGACACTAGACTTGGAAATCTGGAGTCAGCTGACATCTGCCCCTTGAATGAAATAATCAAAAGAAATGAGTGAGTGATATTCTAAGCAAAAATCAGCTGTTCAGGTTGTGTTGTTTTTTAAGCAATGAAAATTATTTTTATGTGAACTGTATGAGCCTACTGAATCATGGTTTTAAAAAGTTAGAATTTTTGCTAAGAGTAGAAGTAGTTTCCATGACCAAGATGTAAGTTAGGTAGGCAAATTGTAGGTTAATAATTACTAGATGCTTAGGCTAGAGCTAATTGGTATAATTATCTGCTATTATAAATTTACGTACAGAAGAACATAAGTAAACTGTTAACCATGAAGCACGGGGCCTTGGATCGTGCCAGAGGGTCACTGAGACCTGATGAAGACTCTCCTGACTTCATCCTTCGAGACCACTGACCCATTTCGAGACCACCGACCCAATTCAAGAGAAGAACTGTGCACGCATGAAGGACTAATGGGCTCATTTTAATATGGGGTGGGGATGGGAGGTGCTGGGGTTATGCATATGTATTGTATGTAACATCTTGGGGAATAAACAGAAGGCAAAGAACCTTGTTGGGCGCGGTCACACCTTTCGGAGGTGACTCCAGTGCTGCCTGCCAGTGAATAAACATACCACTTTCTAACTTTAATTAGCTAGAGGGTCTTTATCCGTGATTATACCGTTTTTTTTAACGATTCACTACAGTAACTGAATAATAAACTTCAGAAAATGTCAGTGAATGTAGTTACTAAAGGATGTAACTTCAATAAACACAATGGCAACCTCATTACATTTTGACTTGAATTTTGACTTCTATTTGGAAGCCTGAAGGAAAAAGGCTCAGGACATCACCAGTTTTACATCAGTTTCCCAGCAGTTACATGGTACAGCAGCTGCCACACTGGAGGAGTCCCAGCAGGTCTGTCCAAGGGGAGCTGTGCAGCCACCAGCTGTGTTCCCTGGGGTCCCATCACCACTTGCAGCAGGAATCTTGTGTCTTTGTCAAGCCAGTACAGCTCTGAGTGAGATGTATCTTTCAGTTTGAAATGTCCCTAAGTCAGATGTATTTTTACTACTGGAAGGAAAGACAAATGATATGAAAGATGGGGAGAAAGAATTTTCAAAGGATAGAAATGTTCATTTATGCAGAATCGCATCTGTTGTCTGCTCAAAAGAAAAAAGTTCACAAGAAGTCAATGTGTTTAACAGTGTGAGAAAGAGACAATCAATACATATACCAGACTACAGATGTGTTGTTTTCATAGCATTGATGTAGATATAGTCTTAAATTTAAAAAAACCCAAACTTGCTTCTGTGGATTAAACATAAGCAAATGCATGAAGGACTTCAACTTTCTATTAAAATTCTTGTTTTTATGTCTCTCTGATATTTTTTTAAGTGATGAAAGGTTTTTCCTTTTGATACATCATTTCTCCAAGAGATAGACAATTGAAATGGTCGATATTTTTTCTCAAAGTAATAATTACTGCATTTTAGTTTCTAATGCAAGTTCATATTGATCTAAGGATTGTCATTCTTGGATGTATTTGTTTCAAGTGAAGACATAGGAACCAGAAGAATATGTTTACTTGATCAAAAAATACAGCTAGTAATCTGGTCCTTTGCTCCATTCAGAAAACATCCCTGTCAGATACTTTTCATGTGTTCTTAAAGACTCCTAGTGATCCTAAACTTTATCATAGATTCTGCTACTCTTCCATTATAAAATTTGAAAGTCTCCTTTTTTTCCATTGGCACAGTTTCATTTTGTAACATAAACATTCAAATGTTCTTTATATATTGACATAATGGGAATGACAAATAGTCTATATATGCCCTCTTTATTTAAAACTTGTTTAACAAGAAGTTTGTGACAGTACTAAGTTGCATTTGAAGATGGATAGGAAGGAAAATGATATTTTAAAATATTACAGTGTCCCTCTGAACATCTCTAAATAAAGGCATTTTTATTCCAAAAGGCTTTTGGATTTTTGGGTCCTTCTTTGGAATAGAGAATTGTTTCCCTCATGCTATGGATGAGACCACCAAGAAAAAAGTAATTGCTTTGTGAAGCTTGTGGAAATGGCCATCGTGGGGCCAGAATATCAGAATGTAGCCCTACAGCCCATATTTGGTATGAAAGAAAGTGCATACCTATACAGAGAAAGGAAAGAAGAGAGAGGATAGATTTTTTTTCACATCACACACACGTGTAATTCCACACTATATTATTTTCTATTTCTTCCAACTTATATTGACTTCTCTGTAGGGAACAAATAGCCACAAAGCTGGTCTAAAACCTAATCTACAAGGCACTGCAAGTTTAGATAAAGACCTCCGAGTACCTTAATCCTTTACACACTTTTTATCTTTTTCATATTTTTATATTTTTTGTCAATTATATTTTTAATCTTTATTCAGATAAAATAGCTAAGAAATACCTACATTGTATCAAAATGTTATACTATTTTCAGGAAAATTAACTTCAATTTGTGGAACCAATGGGTTTGGTCAATGTACTTTAAAAGTTACAAAAGTGCCTTTTCAAGCTATCTGCAAGATGTTGCTATACTCTTTCTAAATTTTGTAGTAGTCTTCAGAGAAACAGAAAAGATTACAAGATCTGTTTCCACTTACAACTCCAGAAGTTCCCAGCTGGCAGAGAATTTCTTGGTTTCAGGCACTGTCCATGAGATAGCTGGAAACCGTTTCTGCATGCAGTACAGCTCTTGTAACTGTACCCAGCACAGGTTGCACAGCTCCTGTGGCAAGGCTCACATTCTCTGGAGATGTGATCAACGAAAAAGCCATTTCCACACTCATTCACACAGGCACCATCTGCAACAGAAACAGACCCTGGAAGCATAGTGGCCCCTGTGCATCCCTCTGTCTCCAGCAGAAATGGTTTAAGAAAAACCCAGTGCCACATGAAACATTTTCCAGCTATAAAAACCATAATTTTTTAGCATGAACTCTAAATTCAGTTCAGTTGCATACGAGAAATTTCACAAACTTTAAACCAATCTGCATTTAAATTTACCTCTAACATGGCTTTAATCAATATACTAAACATTAGTACATACAAATCTAATGGAAGTCCATGCCTGAGTAAAAGTTTTGAGGTTGAGTCCTAACCATTATACTGTCTCAATAAATAATTAAAGATTAGATGCCTCCAAGATAGTTAGATTTATGCAAATTTTAGACATCTGCAAATTTATAAGATCTCTAGTTTCTGCTGAATATAAAGTTAAACTCAGGTTTAAATTTGATTCAGATTAAGGTTTCGCATACCTCATCAAAACCTCTGGAAGTTGTAGTACTTATGGCTTTTGGAGTTTTGTCTAATTTCAATTAAAAAACTCATAGACCCACAGCTCACCCTGGTTATGACCACAGTGTTTTCCATGATGCCACTACAGGGCACTTTCAACAGCCAGGGCAAGAGAATACTATAACCTCAGGAATTCCTGTGATTCATTTTTGGCACTGTGTCTGAACCAGACCTGCCTGATTTATGGCTTCTTTAAAAAGCTAGGGGATTCCTAGCGTTGTGTGAATCTGTGTGGAATTTAGTGGTTTTAACTGATTTTTTTTCAGTGTTTAAAAGTCAAACTAAAACTGGACTTGCAAATACTAAGGAAATATTTAAATGTGTTTCTATAGTTAAAAAACTTCTTTCACAAAGTCTGAATCAAATACAATTTTTTTAATGTGCCTGGAAGAGGTGAAATTTAAATATATACATCCTTTGAACCAAATTACACTACTGGGTAACAAAATCGCCTTACAGTGATGCAAATGCCTGATTCTGCAAAGATCTAAGTCCCTTCAGCCTCCACTGTCTGCCATAGAACAGATTTATGAATTTGAAAGTTTGGATCCAGAGTATTTTTCTAAAGAAAAAGTCTAAATTTTTTTTTTGTGTATTTTGCTGTTCTTTGTACTTTGCTTACCTGAGAGATAAAAGCCTTCCTTACATGAGTCACACCCATCGTTGTCACAGTTATCACAGTTGCTAGGACAGTCTCTACACTGCCAAGAACTTTCATCTCCGTAGGTATTTTCTGGACAGTATTTATAGCAACGCTGCTTATACCTGTAAGATAAAGTAGAACATCAATTGAAAATTTCTTTTGAAGGTCATTGAGTTTGTTTTGTTTGTGTTTCTAGGAATGGTAATGATGAAACATGATTAGCATAATGAACAGAAATTATTCCTATAGTGAGGATTCAAAGTGTATTTGGTGTTATATTGTTTATTCAACTAGAAAAGTCATGTTTCCTAATCTCAGGATTCTTAAGTATGATTAATTTAATTTTATTTTTTAAAGGTAGGCAGAAACCTGAATATATGCTTCATTAAAAATTATTGTATCATGATTGTAAAGAGCTGATTGCTTGTAAAAACATATAATCCAGTGCCTTTGTTTATAGAGTCAACATAACCAATATTTTCTTGTCCAATTTTTACAGAGATCTATAATTGCTCTCTTTGGAAAGTAATAATGTTCTTTTCTCTCAGTTTAATTTAAGCTTTCATTTAATTTTCTATTCCTTTGCATAAACTCCATACATTTATAAGTCTTACAAATTTCACATACCAGAACTAGACACAACATACTAAAATCAAATTTGTTCCACATCCATATGCACTGTTTAACTTTTTGACACTTTTTGTCCCGTATTCCTTTCTTCTGATATGCAAAAGTCCCACCAGTCCATAAGTTTTAATAGGTCTCAATACTGAATAATTGGCTAGTTTTCCAACATTTCCCAAGTCTTTTTCCTATTTGCTATTTTTCAGACAAACAATTTAAGGGATGAGACAACATACACAGCACAGATCTATGTAGTAAAGCACGTATTTTTGCTTCAGAAAAATGTGTAGTCATGAAGAGCTATATATATACAACTGTACTTACCTATAATAGTTTTGAATGCATGTTATACAGATTCTTGGATCATCTGAAATTAAACATATGAAATTATGTAAATAATTTTCAGAGTAAAAACCAGAATTCCAAAAAGAACTTTGCTAAACCAATTTTATGTTAATATTTCTTACACTGAAATAATTATAGCCATAAAAAGAACATCGCTGTCTCTGAATCTCTGTTCACATTCATTTTGAGATGAAATCTTCCACAATCAGATCCTGGACTGTATTTTTCATAGCAACCTGTGGCTTTTTCGTCCTCAGCATAATCCACATACCTGGAAGGAGCTAAGTCCTTAGGAAGTGATGATCTGAAAAGCAAGACCTTTACAGGGGCTCAGGTTGGGTCAAATGAACTGTTAAAATGGGACTGAATTTACCTCAAATCGTAATTTAATCCTATTTCTTTATTTGTTGCAGAGATAAGTTAAAACCTTTTGACACTTCTAAAAGCATGTTTTTCAGATATCTAAGTAATCAGTTTAAATTTCAAAATCCTGAGCTAGGCAAGACTGTTTCTGTATTTGGAGAGGAGGTTATGGTGGAAGAGGTGGTGGTGGTGGTGCAAGACTTTTGAGTAAACTTTCCCGCCAGAAAAATAATTTTTGTATTCAAAAAAATTGTTGAATCAACAGGAAAAGTGTTAAGCAACTTTAAAAAAATCTTAAAAACATGGACTCCAAAAATGATGAATATATTTTTATAACCTTCTATCTATTATCTTCTAGTCACTATTTCTTTCACCTTAAACAAATATCCCAGAAGCAGTAGAATGGAAGGAAATGAAACAACCTGAGTGAATGTATATATAAAGAGAACCACAAAACCACAGAAAATCTGAGTTGGAAGGGACCCACAAGGATCATTGAGCCCAACTCCGGGCCCTGCACAGCACCATCCCTGAGAGTCACACCATGTGCCCAATAGCGTTCTGCAAGCACTTCTTGAACTCTGTCAGGCTTGGTGCTGTGACCACTTCCCTGGGGAGCCTGTTCCAGTCCAGCCCGGCCACCCTCTGGGGTGAAGAACCTTTTCCTAATATCAAACCTAAACATTCCCCGACAAAATTTCAGGCCATTCCCTTGGACTGCCACTGGTTACTGGTCACCACAGAGAGGAGGTTGATGTCTGATCCTCCTCTTTTCTCATAAAGAAGCTGTAGAGTGTAGCCAGGTCTCCCCTTAGTCTCCTCTTCTCCAGCCTGAATAAAACAAGTGACTTCAGCTGCTTCTCATAAAGCCTCCCTTCCAGACCCTTCGCCATCCTTGTGCCCCTCCTTTAGATACACTCTAATAGCCTAATGTCTTTTTTATATTGTGGTGCCCAAACTGCACACAGTCCTCAAGGGGAGGCTGCACCAGTGCAGAACTTTCCCTTGTTGAACTTCACATGGTTGGTGATTGCCCAGTCGTCTAAGTTGTCGAGGTCTCTCTACAGAACCTCTCTTTGATGAATACAACTGTATCATCTACAGACTTGTTTAGGATCCTTTCCAGTCCTGCATTCAGGTCATTTATGGAGATGTTGAAGAGCACAGGGCCGAGGATGGAGTCCTGTGGAGCCCCACTGGTGATAAGTCACCAGCCTGATGTCAACCCATTCACTATCACCCATTGTGCCCGACCCGTGAGCCAGCTGCTCACCCATCCTATGATGTGTTTATCCAGCTGTGTGCTGGAAGTTTTGTCTGGAAGAATATTACTATGAGAGACTATGCTTTTCATTTCTGGGAGAATTGAAGAGAACACTACCTTCTCTCCTGAATTGAGGAATCATGGAATCAATTAGCTTGGAAAAGACCCCTGAGATCAGTGAGTCCAACTTTTGACCAAACACCCTGTCAACTACTCCATGGCATATATCCAGTCTTTCCACATACACTTCCAGGGACAGTGACTCTATCACCTGCCTGGGAGTTCCATTAGGTCTAACCGCCATTTCTGTGAAGAAACTCTTCCTAATATCCAATCTAAACCTCCCCATGTGCAGACAAAAAACACGTCTTCATCCTGTTGCTAGTTGGCTGACAGAAGGGGTCAACCTGCACCTGGCTACAACCCCCTTTCATGCAGTTTTAAAGAGTTCAGAAGTTCCCCCTGAGAATCCTTTTCTCCAGGTTAAACAATTCCAACTCAGCTTCATGTGGTTGTTGCGGCCAAAGCATAGGATCTGGCACTTAGTCCTTCCAGTGTCCTGAAATATCTTTTCATTAACCTTGAGCTTCTTGTTGAAATATCACTGGTACCCCTGTGAAAACATTACTAGGCAGTATTTTGAAGGCTCTATTAACCTCTTCATTTTTTTTTTTTTTTTTTTTTTGTGATATCCCTGATTTGGGTCCCAAGGAGGCAGCAAACTTCCCTGCTGATGGTCTGCTGATGGTTTAGATTATATTTGTCTTAATTATTTTACTCTTTAGCAATTCCAGCAGAACGATGGAGCAGTTAACATTTCTTGACTGCTTTAATTCATGAAGCTTCTGAACTGCAAATTGTTGAAGGAGTAGAAATGTATGCTTTGTTGGTATATGTAATTTTAGAAGTATGTTTGGTTGGTGGCTTCTGAGCTAGGTGAATTTCTGGTCTGATCCAGTAGTTTTCTTCTGTGCTCTTATTTCTCTGGAGAACTTTAAACTAAAATCTGGAATATTCTGTGCTTCTAGAACTCCAGGTTCGGTCTCATATCTTAAGCTTATCCAGTGATTTTTTCAAGCCTGGATTTTACACAGGAAGTATTTTTTTCTTTCTCAGAAAAAGAAAAAAAAAAATCGAGGAAAGAAAGTTTTATCAATACATGCACCTTGTATCTTCAATGTGCAAGGAAATTCTTTTTTACTTTCACTCTACGAAAGACAACATGCTCTAATTTAATGTTCTGTCCATACTGATATGTCAAGACTGAAAATTAGAAAGCAGTTCCGAAACTTGTTAGGCATATTTTTTTCTGCACAGATTGCATATTATCACTGCAGAAGCTTGTAGAAAATGTTATTATCTGAAAATCTAAAACCCCTTCTGCAAGACTAACCTCTTGCAGATTTACTCTGCGATAAAAAACTGTCTTTATCATAATTTTGTCTTAAAAGTCAAGAGCTATTCATCATCAGGGATGGTTTAAAGAAATGAAGTTTTCCTTTCTCTTTCTTAGGTTGCTATGGGAACCAGATCAGTTTTCACTCATTTATCATGTAATGATAAATCCATATCTATAAGCCTGCGTCTGTGCACAGTGCTGCTGTTTCAGCTGCCTCAGACTTCCTTAAATCTTCTCTAAATACTTTTCTTCTCACTGCCACAGCCTTGTAGACTCCATGTTCCTCCATTCCACTCTGTATAACGGATCTTGTTGATTTGAGTATTATTTATTCTCACTTTCAGCCTTTATAGCTTTATATTTTTCACATAGACCTTGTAACCTCAACCAAATTAAATAATTAGGTTCTGGAAGACCTTTGAGAGTGGCTCAGGCTTTACCTTGCTAAATTAAAGAGGCTAAATGCCACACTTGGGCCTACATGCCTCTTTAGCAGACCTTTAATCTCAGGGACATGGTTCTTTGGGTTTTCTCAGTATTAGTTTCTTTTGTAAGGTGTCTTTGAGAGAGAAAAATGTTACATAACTTTGCTGAACATTTTTCACTCTGCACCCTACTGAGGAGTACTTTACTCAGTGTTAGCCTTTGAAAACAGTCCCAGTGCAAAGGTTGCAAAGCCATGTCATGGTGCTCACTGTAGAAGCGTGGATGGACCAAAAAAAGTTGGTATATATTGTATTTTGCTGCATGGAGATGAGGTATTCTGTAGGGGCCCATAAGAACTATTCATGATGTAAGATGCTTTACTTTCACAAGTTGGGTGAGGTGAGTGGAAGAGAACCCAAGTATTTAAAACTGGGCCAGGAAAGTGTGGCTCCTTGGGAGCAGACTGGCAGGAAGATTGGCGCTGCAAATTGAGAGGATGCCTGACCTACACAATCACTTCTGAGAGGAAGACTGTCCTCCATTGATTCCTGTGAGTTTATCAGTGATCTGCGGGGGGTCCATGCTGCGAAGATTTACCTCCTCAGTGAACCAGGCGCTTCTATTTATTTAGCAGTATTAGTTAGTGGTGTGGCAATTTCTCCTTGTGAAATATATGTATGCAAGCCAGTAGATATGGCGTATCAGAGAAGATTGTCACTTATCACCTTCAATGCTAGCCAAATTTGATGTCTGTTCATTATAAAAGTGAAAAAGGGCGTATGTAAATTGTATGATTAGAAAGAGAGCTGAAGTTATTTGAGAAAGCACTTTAGTCCACATGTTGTATTTTAAACATAAGAAATAGGAGCAAAGATTTTTATGTTCTTGCATTTTATTGACTCTGAAGTTCTCTTTGAATAATTACTCTAAGTGGTTCAGAATCTACAGTTTTACCTTATTTTTTCCTCTTGTTTGGAGTGTTGGCTGATAGGCACAGGCTTTCTAAAAAGAGAAGGTTACCTTTGAAGAAGATGTCTGAAATTCCTTATGGTTTCGAAAGTCTGGAGAAAATATGAATGCTATCCTGCAGATATCTAAATATGTGAGTAAATGAAATTACATTGAGAAGTGGAAAGTAATGCAATGGTATAAACAAAATCCTCTTTCTAATATTTTTTGCAGCAGAACTTTATCTTTCAAAAACTGTTTTTGTTGAGCAAACTGGATTTAATTTTGTAGACTTCATGATGTTTACTGGCACCCACCAAAAAAAAGACATTAAAATTTAATCAAAACCTGATGGTCAAAGGTAATGAAGACCTGCAGTTCCTGTCTTTCTGCATCAGAGGGAGCAATCATTCATTGCTGCTCTAAAAAGTAGACTCAGCATGTCCAAAACTGGGTTATAAGAGCTGAGGTACCAACGGTATGAGATGTCATAAAGATAACCTTGGCTGTGGGGACTTAAGATGTATGCAGCACACTTTCTCAGACATTTGTCCGTCCAGCATTGTGCTTGTGTTTGCTTGCACAGAAATAGGGATATATTTAAGTCTTTAAGAATTTAGAGTTATACGTCAGTACTGAGGTCACCCTTAAGCCTTGGCTTGTGCCTGTGTGAGATTCTGACTTTCAGGTCTTATGGGAAGCTGTGCACAAGGATCCAATTCGGCTCATTTGGCATTGAGCAGAGCCAAATGCATCCCAGAGCAAGTGGGCAGGACAAGGTGGGGAGGTGAACACTAATGTGCACAGCCATTGTTTGGGCACTGTGTACAAAGAGCTATGGATTTCCTGGGGATTAGTGCTTTCTAAGGCAGTGCTCCTATCAGCATATCCCAGGACTTGTCAGTGTCTGCAGGCCGAATGGTACCTGTTAATTACAGATTCTTTACATACTTAAAATATGAGTGGCCTCTGAATTAATGAAGTGAAAAAGAATGAAAATAATTACCTGACTTTAAAAGAAAGCGTAATTTGTGTTTTAACTATATAGACTTATTTGTCATTGATTAAGTCTCTCTCTGAATTCCTATCTTTGCTCTTAGACTTTCAGTGTTGATACAGTAAAGATATGTTGCCACACTGGTGCCTTGAAACAAAATCCACTCCAAACTTGGAGATAAAATCCTTGAGGATTCCAGAAGGTCTTACAAGCAAACACTATCTACTTTAGTATCCTCACATCTGGTGGAGAATAACCTTCAGTGTTACCTACTGTGTGGGTTTTACTTTCTTCTCTGAAATGCCTGATATGGGATGCAAAGTATGAAACCGTTATAAAAGTATGATACCTCTGTTTTAATCTGGATGTAGATCAAAAAGAGAGACTGCCCATGCTGGTTTGCTCTATTCTGCTGGCACATGTCATCATGCTAGAAGGAAGCAAATCTTATTAATTTTCCTGTCTGTGGAAAGCAGGACAACATTGCAGGTGCTGGTTTAATCTATTATTTGGTGAGGTGTGAAAATGATTTTTTGAGCAAAACTCTTTCAGGCTAGTAGGAAAACAAGCAGTTCAGTTATTTTAATATGATAATATATCCCTCCTAGAAATGACATTTCTGTCTACAAGAGAATAGAAAAAATATCATAATCTTTGTAATTTGTAGACAGTAAGAGAATCGTTTGTATTTTGCTACTTCTGATTAAGAATGCTTAGAATTTAAAAGAAATAAAACTTCTGTAAGTGATCCTGTGCTTAGTATAAAATGAAGAGCTTAATTATTTTTGCTTCTTTAGAGTTGATATTGAAGAATCTTAAAGCACTTCAGGAGAAACAGATGCTGAATAATTTTCTATGAGAGAATGGTCTCCAGTCAGCCAAGGACCCATAAATATGCACAAAGTATATTTGCAACTGTATATGTATGTGTGTATATATATATGAATAACTACTTTTCACTATTTGAACTACATAAATTTTTGTTCCAATTGCTATTATTACTACATTCCTTTTTTTTTTTTCCAACTGCACTTTCACCTGAAATGTTCATAGCATTGAACTTTTCCTACACCTTCTCTACAGTTCTTAGAATAAATTATTCAATTGTGTTAAAGGGAGGATAGGACAAAGAGGCTGCAAGACCCTCCAGTATCAACTTAATTTTCAAAGGGAGTCTGTAGAAAGATTATGAAGATGTGAAAAGAAATGTAGCATATTCCTTATTTTCTCACCTTGAAATTCTAGTATTTTAAGTTACTTTTTTGGCAGTGTAATTTCTCTAGAGCTTGCAAAAGAATAAACTTCCTGTGAGAGACTGGCCTTAAAGTTTTTGGGTTTTAGGGTTTTTTTTTAATGAAAGTTTCTAAATACATCAGCTTTCTGATTAGATATGAGAAAGCCATTATTGTGCTTATCTATGAATAAAGTTGTTGATATGCCTGAAAACTCGCTGAACGTTAAGAGTAAAAATATAAGCAAATATCTACGATAAAATATAGACAGATATAGGTATGTACCATAGCTACCTGACATTTTCAGTCGAAGCTTACAGGTTCTCCTTTATTTCAAGAACACGTTCTATTTTGCAAAATCTACTTGGGACTGTGCTTTTAGGCTACTACTGTTCTTCTTTTCCAAGAAGAACTAACAGTAAACCCATCCCTGACTCTCAGTAATATATACATCCTGAGCACTAAAGATTTTCCTTAATATAGTGCCTGGAAATAACATCTGTCATCTTAATACATCTGATTCTACATAGCAGTGAAAACCAATTCAGATTGTTTTACCTGCATCCATTCCGTTGATCCTTGAAGCTTTTAAAAGCCCTCTTTTAAATCAGAACTTTGAGTTCAAGAAGTTGAAAGTATGTAGTTAATGTTACAGTTTATTAACATTAAGGAGATCAGTGATCCTCCCAGGAAAAAGGCAAATGAATACTGCCCCTTTTCCTGTATGCCAGCTAACCATGAACAGTCTCCTTATACACACTTATTAAGTTAATAACAAAGAAAATCTTCTTCTGAGTGATGAGGAATTACTATTTTTAAAAATACTTTGCTATAAATACATATTACATTTCTCCCTAATTCAAAATACCAATTGCCACTACACAGTTTCGGAAGAAAAAGAAATAATTTGAAGTCACAATCATTATAAAAAATACAGAAAATACTAGCAAGGGGAAATAACATCTGATAGCACCAATAAAGGTAGGTATTGAAACATACACTCTCCCTTAACTTCTCCTCCCCTCAACCAAGCAGGCAGCTGCCATAAATTTGGATAACACACTGTACAAAAGGAGACCACAGTGCAGTTGCACTCGTGTTAAAGCCATCTCTTCATTCCACAATACTGATGGGGCAGTTGTAGTCAGAGAGGAAAGCCTTAGGCTTGACTGAATTCACACAGAATGGCTGGTCACCAGCAGGACAGGACATTTTTTATGGTATCACATGTTACATGGGACAACTGCCAGAAAGAAGGAATTATGCGATGAAAATCCTTATGGTAAGTTAGGTAAACCAGTTAGTGTAGCCAGAAAAAGAGCTGGACAGAGAATTGTGGTGTAGAGTTTGTTGCAGACAACGGCATGCCAATACTGTGCTGTTCTAAATTTTGCAGAACTAGCAATTCAAATCCAGAAAGTGTTCCAACCATGGATGGCAGCCCTGAATATGAAAGATACATTTTTTCTTGAAAGAGCATATTTTTACAGCCAAGGTTTTCACTTCTGGGACATGACAAAGCAGAATCCGTGCTTGCCTGGAGGCAAGTGCCACACCCCTTTTTCAGACTCCCAGGGGCTATCAGCCTTCGCCTATGGTTGCACACACCACTCTTGCTGACTCCTTACAAACAATCTCACTTTCCCTAGATATTCGGATAGGAGGAGAACCCCCTGAAACTTCAGGGAAGCTGCAACAGCCACATGGCAAGTGCTTTGTGACGTGGAAGTTGAGATTCCACCTGAATCTCAAACACCTCTTTTTATTTAACACTGCTGGTTGCATTTTCATCTCAGCATATTTCCATTCTTTTCTGTTTCACAGGAATGCCAGATGAACTGCGCATGGATGGATGGATTAGCCTGCACCAACCATGAAATGTATACATGGAATTTTTTAGGGCCGTGGCAGTGTTATTAGCAATAACTTGCTAATAACAGTAGCATGGTTATGTAGCAATAACTGGCTCTTGAATGAAATTTTAAGATTGTCCTTCTGTCTATATCTTTGAAGAAAAAGCACAAGGTGGTGGTCTGTTCTGAGGCATAGAAAATTTGAATGCCTACAGTAAAATTCTTTGTCTGATAATAGCTTAATAGCTTTAGGAAGTCAGTAAATCTTTCAGCCTGGGTGTGGCATTCAAACTGCTGCAAATTTTAGTAGCTAAATTAGTAGCTAAATTATTCTTATTTATGCTGAATATAGATTTTAGAAATTTATTTCAAAAATAAATATAGCATGGAATACAATTTACTTGGTGAGAAACCACCTGCACCAATGACTAATTGCTCAACAGCATGCATTTAACCTAATGACAAGAGTGAGGGGAAGTAAATTTTCCCTACCTTAAGAATAACAGTAAGGTTGATTAAGGGAATATTTACCTGGTTTGCAGTTCTGGCATCCATCTGAACATGGTATGCAGTCTTCAGAGTCAGGATCTTCCACTTTACCTGTGTTTTGCAAATCATCAATTTTGGGTTAATTCTATATAAGCAACATTTGCAAGGACTCAGGAAAGGTTCCTATAAATAAACTTGATTCAAATCAGTTGTGTTGGTTTGAAAGCAAAACCATTGAAAGACTCTAAGTCACTAATATAATTTAATAGGAAAAAAGAGAAAAAATAAAATACATGCAATAATACAAAAGAAAAACACTGACAGAGTCAGAATACAACCTGACACCCTGTCAGTCAGGGTGCTGGTAGCAGTCCCATTAAATGGTGGCTGCAGTCCTCCTGGATGACAGATGTGATTCAGTTGAAGCAGTGCTCCTGTAGAAGGTGCAGTTTTCCTCTGAAAGTCCAGCGATGATGTGGAAAAGGTCCAACTTCCCTCTGGGATCCAGTAGAAAGGTCTGCCTTCACGTTCCAAACCCCAGTTTTTTATCTAGGCAGGAAAGGCTTGGCTCCTGCCCCTGGCTGGAGCATCTCCCAATGGGATGATGTAATCTTATCAGTCACACAATAGGACTGAATGGCCCATTAACAGAAGATATCTTCTGGAGGAAGGATGGGTTGTGAAAAGATGATGATGATAATCCCCCTGATTTTATCAGATGGCACACCAGCAGAGGATCTCTCCCACAGAGATAAGGATCATCACCCCTCCCACATTTCAACAGATGGTGATAGAATACACATTTTTGCATTGTACCCCAGGACTTAATCCACCCCTTATTCTATTACTATTTACATCATACCCAAAACAATACCCTCTTACAGATATATATATAATACAAAATGAAACCTGACATACAGTTTTCACTTAAAATTAGGTCTTCTTGCGGTATACAATGGGTTTCTCCATCTTTTTGCATTACCCGCCAAGTGTAACCAGGTCCTTGAGCAAAAACAATCCCACGGATTGGTTTGCCTTTGCCTGTGGTGGGATTAATCCAAACAGTCTTTCCTAAAATACCTTTCATGTGTACCACTGGGACTTTGTTTCCATCAACTGTGTGCAGTGGTTCGGAGTGGGCAGGACTGGCTTGATTGATGGACCCTTGGGTGTTTACCATCCAGGTGGCTTTGGCCAAGTTTATTTCCTAACTTCTGAAGGTTCCTCCACCAAGTGCTTTCAGGATAGTCTTAAGGAGTCCATTACACCATTCAACTTGGTCAGTACGTAGCACTTGCCCTGGCAGGTTTGGGGAAGGGTGATATAGTCAATTTGCCAGGCTTCCCCATACCTGTACTTCGACCATCATCCACTGTACCACAGAGGCTTCACCCGCTTGGCCTGTTTGATTGAAGCACAGGTCTTGCAATTGTGGATGACCTGTGAGATGCTGTCCATGGTAAGGTGTTGCGGTGTGCTGTTTTGTCCTAGTGTTCTCATTTAAGTTAAATGGTTTGTTCTTGTGTTTGCACCCCTAGGTTGCTGTAATATGGTTCAGTCCCTTCCCGCCTCCCCCATTATCCCTCAACCCTATACCACACCTACCTTCCAGAATGTTCCATTTGTTTCCCAAGTCTCCTCCTAAAGCCCTGTCAGTCTGCACTAGCTCCTCCCATTGTTTGAGAATGTTCCATGTCTGTTACTCCCTCCTTGTTAAGTGATTTGATGTTGTACCCCGGTTACCACCCATGTATCTCCTCATTGGTTTACCATTCACTTTTCCCCGCCTTAGATACCTCCCCTTGTCGATCGCAATTGGCCAGAGGTTTGTACCCTCCCCTTGTACCGCCCCTGTATTTAAGTTCATGCACAGCCTGTTTCACCGCCTTTTGCGGTTCCCTCACCCAGACCCCAGACCTCTGTTTTGTCCCTTCAATAAACCTCCCTTCCTGGAACCATGAAAGGTCTCCCCTGCAACTCTTTATCTTTCCCGGACGGATTGCCCAGCTATAGCGAAAGCTATACCTCTTCTGTGGCTCCCAGAGCAGTGCTGGGGAGAGTCTATTACTTGACGCGGGCTTCTTGGAGTTAGCAGGGAGCCCAGGCGGAGTGGGTGTTTTGGGGAAGGCACATCAGTAAGGTCCATCTCTCAGTCACAGGCCTATGCATATGTTGCATCTCTCCCCTGATGACCAGAGGCATCATGGGCCCAATGAGTTAGGAATAATCCTCTCTTGTGCTGCCAGTCTAGATCCACCTGCGATACTTTCACCTTGGTAGCGTGGTCCACCTGCTCATTGTTGTGATGTTCTTCATTAGCCTGATGCTTGGGTTTGTGTGCATCCACCTGTCGAACCTTCACAGTCAGTCCCTCTACTTGGGAGGCAATGTCCTGCCAAATCTCAGCAGCCTAGATGGGTTTTCCTCTGCGCTGCCAGTTGGCCTTTTTCCAGCTATCCAGCCATTCCTACAGAGCATTAGCTACCATCCATGAGTCAGTGTAGAGACAGTCTTGGCCACTTTTTTTGTTCAGCAATATCCAAAGCCAACTGGACTGCTTTTAGCTCAGCAACCTGACTCAATCCACCTTGTCCCTTGGCAGCTTGTGCAACTTGTCATGTGGGGCTCCATACTGCAGCTTTCCATTTCCGGTTAGTGCCTACAATTTGGCAGGAACCATCAGTGAAGAGGGCATATCGTCTTTCAGTCTCCGGTAGCTCATTA